GTCCTAAATTTTTGCCGATGCAATTTATTTATTATTCATCCACCGATGCTCCCTTCAAAGGCCATTAGCGGTGAATTTGCGCCGGATCCCTTTCATCCCCCGCAATTGCCCTTATTGTCAAATTATCACGTCGTTTCAGCTACAAGGTGTGGGGAAATGCCCGCCAACCCGCCATACATGGCACATGACGCTCCGGTATTCAAAGTTCCCGCACCCCCGGCGAACATGAAACTCCACTCCGGTGTCTTCCGGATTTGACCCAAGTGTCTGGCCGCCCCATCCCCCATGTTGTGCCCGCCGCCAGGCTCGTTCTTCCATATTCCACAGTCGACCGCTTCATTCATCCACAATGCAAGTGTAATTGAAAAATTTGCATAACCGGTCGCAAAATGCATGACTGTGGCGGAGTCCAAACGGCTACATTTATCCAGTTAGGCTCCAAGCGTTAATTTTTGATTCTGGGCGAAGCTAAGGTAATAGGGTCATTTGCTGAATGTCTAATTCCGTGTGTTCTTGGCCTTGAAGCCGGTTCCGGCAATATGTCTGTGCGATTGCGCGTGTCTGCGTCTCTGAAACTATTGCAGTAATTATTTTGAACCTTTAACTTAATTGGTACAGTTTTTACATTTTGTCAAAATAATTCTACTATCATATTGTTTATTGCACCTGTAGCGTACAATCCAGAGGGCGTGGGTCAGTCGCGCACTGCGGTAAAAAAATCAGCAGGCAACTGGTCCTAATCTCTCAGGGGTCGTGTCCGAATTGCGGTGCAAATTTTGCTCAAATATCGGAAAGTTAGGTACATGAATACCTCTCACCGAATTGCGTTCGTTCTCGGACTGTTGGTGTACAGCTGGTTGTAGAATTGTTCTTAAAACAGTTGGATAAATTGGAAGAAGAGTAGAGACATCATTTAGTTCTCTAACTTTAAATCTTGAGAAAAACCTAATCCTTTTTTGACTGAAAGAATAAAGTGAAATGTTTACATAAAAACGAAAAACGATATACTGAAAAAGATGTGGGTAGTTTGTAGACAGATGTTCATAGAATCTAAAATTATCCAATTTAAAAATAATGAAATATTTGGATATAGTTTTGTGAAAATATGTCAGGTACAAATTTCTAGTGTCATCATAATTTAATATAAGGCAATATATTCTGTTATTCTAAAATTATATTTTTTGGAATTACATACAAATCAATAACATCTATCATCACTACAATTTATTACGTGATCAGTGGTTCGTTTTTCATACATAACAGGATCGAAGAGTAAACAAAATGGATTTCCGGACAGCAAATTTAAAAATACATATGTTCATCTTATTCACAAAATTTGTATCAAGTTCTTTATCCAGAATTTTGAATAATAAATAATTGGGTACACCACTTACGTACGTGATTAAAGCGTAAGCCCTAACTAAGAATTTTACCACAGTTCGGTAGGGAATTATAAGATATCAGGTACAAAATTTTGCACCGCAGTTCGGTGACGAACTAGAAATGCACCACAATTCGGACAGGAATTGCACACAAACTACCTGAGAGGCAGTTGTTTGCTGGGATAAAAAGATTTGCACATCATTTTAACCACATTCATAATATTTTGCATATTTTATAGCACTCACTTGGCAAAATTTTGAGAACACGTCATAATTTTTTTGGGAGGGGATATATGAATAAATTTTAATGAACGATTTATCATGCTTACGGTAACCTTAAAACGTAAAAGATTTCAGAGCATTTGATTTTGATTGTTCTTTTCAAACATCTGGATGTCAAAGGTAAAAAACTTAACACTGAATCACAAAATTTAACTAACATTTGCTATTGTAAATTTTGGAGATGTTGGTAGGGCTGATTAGACAAATTTTTGTCAAAGGTCATTTCAAGAGAACAGTCTAACAAAACATGCTTCTTTGAAAAACTATAAAATTTGAGTTTGTAAAATTAAAGTACAAAATTTTCAAGGCAGGTCATCAAATTATTGGTTCCACAAATTTTGGTTTTACCATGTACACGATAATTATATAAGATAAAACTAACTTTGCTAATGACATACCCTCGGCGGGGCTAATACTTGTCAAGATAAGACTGATTTTGGCAAATGATCTACTGTCTAGGAAAATAAAGTTCTGGTGGGCTGGGTTAGTACTTGCCAAAAAAACTGATTTTGCCAAATGACGTATCTTCTAAGAAAACAAAGGGCGGGTGGGCGGGGCTAGGATTTGCTAAGATAATACAGATTTTGCCAAATAATGTAAGAAAACAAAGGGGTGGTGGGCGGGGCTACTACTTGCCAAAATAAGACTGATTTTGGTAAATGATCTACTGTCTAGGAAAATAAAGGCCGAGTGGAAGTGGCTAATGCTTGCTAAGATTAAACTGATTTTGCTAAATAACGACCGTCTAAGAAAATAAAGGTCAGGTGGGTTGGGTTAGTACTTGCTAAAACAAGACTGATTTTGCCAAATGACGTATCTTCGAACAAAATAAAGGGCGGGTGGGCGGGGCTAGGATTTGCTACGATAAAACTGATTTTGCCAATGACATACCCTCTAAGAAAATAAAGGGCTGGTAGGCGGCGCTAGTAGAGAACGAGAAGAAAATGTGTCAAATAAATATACAAAATATGTTCGTGGTATACCCACAATTCAAAAACCTTCTTTAATCTAACTTCGCCTAAATATTTAAATATTTAAATATTTACTATCAAAACATAGAGGTTTTCGGACAAAAAGGCTTAACTTCTGTAACAATCTTTCTACTTCTGGTGATGACTATAATTTCATTTTCGCCTAATACCAAATTAATAATACTTGTTAGTGGCCAAAATCAGTCTTATCTTAGCACGTATTAGGCCCGCCCACCCGCCCTTTATTTTCTTAGAGTGAAGGTTCTTTGCCAAAATCAGTTTTATCTTCGTAAGTACTACCCCGCCCACCCACCCTTTATTGTCTTAGAAAGTAAGTCATTTGCCAAAATCAGTCTTATCTTGGCAAGTATTAGCCCCGCCCAGCCGCCCTTTATTTTCTTAAAGGGTATGCCATTTGGCAAAATCAGTCTTATCTTAAATTAATGAACGATTTGTCATGCTTACGATAACCTTAAAAGGTGCAAGATTTCAGAGCATTCGATTATGATTTTTTTTTTCAAACATCTGGATGTCAAAGGTAAAAACTCAACACTGATTCATAAAATTTAACTAACATTTGTTATTGTAAATTTTGGAGATGACGTCATCCCATTGTTTCGAGAGAACAGTCTAACAAATCATGCTTCTTTGAAAAATTATATAATTTGAGTTTGTAAAATTAAAGTACAAAATTTTTGGAGGCACGTCATCAAATTATTGATTACACAAATTAATTTTAGTTTTACCACGTACACGATCATTCTAAAATGCAGAACAAAATTGATAATAACCGATCCGGTAGTTTCAGAAATTATTTGTCTACTAGAAATCGACACAGAAGACAGACAGACAGATGAAAACGGGAGACCAATTTTTTCATGCTTCAGAGGAGTCCTCACGTCTGGCGTCTATGGATTGTCAATATATTTTCAGAATATAATATCTCCGTTATTAACAAACTTATTGTTATGAAATTTTAAATATAACATGTCCACATCTTTCACTATATAACGCGGGGACAGTGTTTTCTAAAATAACCATCCTCTTTTTTTTTCAATTTAGTGAAATTTTTACATTACGTATTTTTAAAAATCAAAATCTCAATTAATAATGGAAATTTTGAAACGCGGTTTTCACCACTATTTTCAGTCTATAAAACTCTATAAACTTCATGGAAAACATTGTCAATTTTTTTTTGTCGGAAATGAGATACAGTGAATAGTTTGTGTCGAAAAATCTTCCATTCTCTCTCATATCTCATTCCCGACAAAAAAGTCGACAATGTTTTCCATGAAATTTATAGAGTTTTATAAATTGAAAACAGTGGTGAAAACCGCGTTCTAAAATTTTCATTAACAATTGAGATTTTGATTTTTAAAAATAGGTAATGTAAAAATTTAAACAAATTAAAAAAAAGATGATAGTAAACTGTTTTTTAAAAAACTGTCCCCGCGTTATACAGAGTTAGTACAAAGTCCCGAAACGGTCAAATAACTTTGTTATTTGAAAAGTTTTTTTTCTGAAATTTGAAATATAGTTAAACATGGCGACTTGATTAAAACATTTTTCCAAAACAGAAAAAAATCACAAAAACGCCTAATATTTGAACTTAACTTTTTCCCCCTTAAACACCAATGATCACGTGCGGATTTTCGAAATAACTAATTTGTTGCACCCCTCGTGTGTCATTATAAATTCAGCTACCATTTTCCTTCGTGTCTTTTTCCATTATTTTTATGTCCTCTAATGAAACCTCTCACCCTATTCTTCACTGTAAATAACTTTGAGCCCCTGAGCTTTTTGAAGCACTCAGTAGCATAACAACGGCAGAAATTAATATCGCTCCGTCCTTGTCCCTTTCACGATTTCTCGTTTTCAAAAAAACATCTACGCGAAAACAATAAAGTTCGCTAGAGTTCTACTATCTAGGCTTAGAAAGACTTTCATGTCAGAAGTCGAGTCTGCAGCCAAAAACAAAAAATAAGTTACAGTTGAACTCGTGTGGAACAGAGATAGTTAAGTCATCTTTTATATGTACCGTAATTGAAAAATTTGCATAACCAGTGGCATAACGCATGACTCCGGCAAAGTCCGGACGACAACATTTATCCGGTTCGGTTCCGGGATTTATTTTTTCGACGTGCCGCGATCTAATCCGCCGTTGCATCTTGAGCTTTATGGGGCATTTTAGCTGGAATTAAAGCCGAGCCGGGCTTAATTTTATAATAGAAATTCAGAGTAGCGTATAATGTGTTTATTTTAAGGTGAAATATCTAAGTTTTTCCCACACACAAAAAACACCTCGTACAATCTCGCGATAAAATACTGTGCTTATTAAAGCGGCCTCGTTTTGTTCTTGTTTCAGGTACAAAGTGCTACAATGTAACCCGCAGCAATAAAGCTTCACTATGGATGTTCGATGGTCCGTCTTCTTCACTCACTTCGCTATCGTCCTGCCCTGTTTTTTCCACTTCACCGCCACTTTTAAACAACAAGGTAACATCAACCCGCAAATTGGAAACTGGCCGTGCACAATAACAGACCTTATTCCGAATAGGGCGTCGACGTACTCTCGAAATCCGTTACAAAACGAACTAATTTTTTTATTTAACACTATTTTCGTACGTAAGCGTAAAAGTAACTCCGTCGTCTAGAAAATGTAGGACAATCCTACAAAATAATGATCCTAGGAAAGTATAGTTTAAAATTCGCATAAAATCCTCGTATAAATTGCAGTATCTGCGAACATTTATTCGTGTGGGAAATGGTTCCTATTTTCATAATGTCGTACAATATACTATTTCCTCGAACCATTAAATAATACGTTTCACGAAAGTCTGCAATTTTTTGAAAGTGTGGACTAACAAAATAAATGTAAATTTTGTATCCCCACAAAAATATACCACAAATTTTTCACAACACTCAATGTTAAAACTTGTACTGTTTAGAGTGTTGACAAAAAATTGGAAATTTCCCGAAGCTAACAGTTTCAATCGCGCAGATGTTTCCTGTGAAATTTTAGTTTTAAAAAAATAATGAGCTACCTCGGACCATTACTAATCGATATCCAAGTGTAAACAGCACCTTTATTTCCTACTTTGCATCTCATTTTTAATTCATTTGTTCATTGTACGGTAATAACCCTTAAATACGAGTCTTTATTGTGCAACGCCCAACGACTCGGTTAAATAATTTGTAAACTTGTAAGCGTTTAAACCTTGAGAACGTTTACATACTCTGGTTTGGGCGAGTAATAATTTTCTTTGAATATTTTAAATTGTGACACCGGCAAATACATTAGTCTTGCAGAGTCAAGGGACCAGAAACCAGCAGTCAGGACTCAAACGACATTAATATTTTAAAATCACATGGACATCCAGGGAGCCTCCTGTCGTCCTTAGGTGGCAATACTACTTGTCATTCGTCTCAACTTTTCTTATATATTTAATGGAGATTCGTCTGGATTTTACCTGGATGACAGTGCCAATATTTCTAACTTTTATCTACGAACACACACAACTTTTTTTTTTACAAATGAAAATATTAGAATCGGTAAAATGTAAGCCTCGTTTATACAATCACAGGTTTACCAAGCTTGACATTTATGCTTTCGTAAACTACCAGCCGGCAAAACAAACACATTTTAACGTGACAGATAAGCAAAACACGGTCAAATCCTAATTTTTATAACACCGGTGCTTTATGAAATTACAACTTGTCGCAAACGCGGTACTCTGATTTACGGTTTCTCAGCGAACTTGGCAAACCTGCAACTGCGTAACTGTGCCTTAAAACACGTTTCGCAAGCCGGGCTTGGCCAATAATAAATCAAATAGACGGGGTTTACAACATGTGTAATAAGTTGGTCCACCACTAGTAAAAATTCGGGTCAGTCATGCCATCAAACTTTGAAAGATACAACAGCCGTCCAACAAACACTTAATTTGGCGATTTTTTTATGACCCATTTTGAACGATTATTACTTTCTAGTTAACAAAATTATTACGTTGATATATAGTTTAATTTGTCTAATAATAATGCACCAAAATGAAAGTTTTTATTTTTATTTTTTACCATGGACGCTACCGGGAAAAAGAAAAATATCAGTAGGACTTTACTTAAAAACACATTTTTTACTAAACACCTACTTAGCAATTCTTATACCAGATTTTTTACAAAATATAAAGAATAATAATAATAACAATAATAATAATAATAATAATAATAGTGCTAAGATGTTAAGGGGGAACGCTAGACGAGAGACAAGTTTGAATTGGGCGCCATTTGTTGCCTTAAACACAACCAGCAATTCTTCTTTAAATCTACTTGACGTGCTGGGATAGACGACTACCGGACATGGGTTATAAAAACATCCTAAGGCGGCCCACAACATACCTTCAGCCCAGAATAATCATTTCTCGTACTCTTTTGACATATTAATTTTAATATTCGAGGTAATTATTATATTATTCAAACACAATTTAGACACTGTAGAGGAAACAAGGCTTATCAAGCCCGTCTATTAGTTTATTCGCCTAAATGTATTATTAATACCGTTTTCAAATTACACCAAAATTGAAGAATCGAAAACTTAATAATTGAAAAATTGAAACATTTTAAATGAAAAAAAATCGGTAAACCGAAAAATTGAAAAATCTATAAATCGAGAAATTGAACAATCTAAAAATTAAACAATTTAAAAATCGAAGCATTGGAAAACCAAAAAATCTAAACCGAGAACTTGAAAAATCGAATAATCGAGAAATCGAAACATCAAAAAATGGAAAAATTGAAGAACCGAAACATTGCAAAATCCCAGAACTGAAATACTGAAAAACTGAAAAATGGAAGGAAAATTGAAAAATCGAAAAAGTGAAAAAATTCAAAACTGAAACATTGAAAAATTCAGAAATCGAAAAATTGAAAAATCACAATTGAAGAAAGAATAGAAAAATCGAGAAATAGAGAAATGGGAAAATCAAAAAATCAGTTAATCGAAAAATTGAAAAATCGAAAAATTTAGAAACGTCAAAAATTGAAAACTGAAAAATAAAAAAATTTAAAAATCGTAAAACTGAAATATCGGAAAATTGAGAAATCGAAAAATGAAGAAATTCGAGAAACCGAAAATATGAAGAATCGATAAATTGAAAAATCCCAATAGTAATATGTCAAAAAATTGAGAAATCGAAATCGAGTTAATAAATTGAAAAACTGAAAATTTTTCGAGAAATTAAACAATCAAAAAATCAAAACATTGAAATCCCAGTAAGTTGATAAATAGGAAAATTTAAAAAACATAAATTTTAAAAATCCAAGAATTGAACAACAAAAAAAATCTAAGCCTGAAAACTCAGAAAAATGAATGATCGAGAACTCAAAACATCAAAGAAAACAAAAAATCTAAAATTTAAAAATTCGACAAACTGAAAAATCGAAAAGTCGACATAGTGAGAAATCTAAAAACCTAAAACTTTAAAAACTGAAAAATTAAAATATCGAAAAATTTAAAAACCGAGAAAACACAATATCAAAAATTTGAAAAATTGAAGAAACGAAATATTGCAAAATTCCAAAGCTGAAATATTGAAAAACCTAAAAATGGAAGAAAAATTAAAAAATCGAAACAGTGAAAAAATCCCAAACTGAAACATTGAAAAATTGAGAAATGGAGAAATCGGAAAATAAAAAAAATTGGTCTAAAGAGTTTAGACAGTACTTCTCTCGCTATCGGAAACGTGACGACTGCATGCCTATTATGTTTTTTTTTCCACATTAGATTTCAAAGCATTCGGTTTTGTAGTTCCTGATTAAATCAATAAAATAAATTTGCGCATTCATTAAATTTTTTGAGTCAGCCTGTATATCCGAATCCAAAAATATAAATGGAATGATAAATTACAAGAAGAGACTCATCATATTTTATACAACTTAGATAGGATTTATTCAGCAAAATTTTGGGGTGGCGTCATCCATTTTGTAGGAGGGATGAGCAAATATATTTTGATCAAAAATTTACCATGCTTATCATAAATTTAAACATTTCCAAGATTTCAAAGCATTCGGTTTTGTAGTTCCTGATTAAATTAATAAAATAAGTTTGCGCATTCATTAAATTTTTTGAGTCACCCTATATATCCGAATCCAAAAAATATGAATGGGATGATAAATTACAAGAAGAGACTCATCATATTTTGTACATTTTAGATAGGATTTATTCAGCAAAATTTTAAGATGACGTCATCAATTTTTTAGAGGGGATAAGTAAATATATTCTGATTAAAACGGTCCTGGTTTAATAACAAAAAAATATTGTTCGTCTATGAAACAAGCTCGTCTTAGACAAAGTATTCGTAAAAAAAATATGTCGTAAAAAATGTACGTATGCTGGTCCCGACTGCGATTATGGTTTAAATATTTTTTAGAAAATCCTGTCATGGATGTGGAAACATTTGTGACAGCCAAAGAGAAATTATCTTTGAATTTAGACCAAATTGAAATAGACACTAGGCACATTTGGGCAAAAGAAAGAGAAATTAGGGTTACGGCTCCAAATTTTGGACGTGTTTACAAACTTAGACCGACTACAGCAATAGCTAAAACTGTGGAGTCTCTGTTGTACAGTACATTTAGAGGTAATAGTCATACATACTATGGACAGCAAAGTGAGGAAAAAGCTGTCAAGTGTTTTGAAATAAATAAAAATATAAAAACTGAACGGTGTGGCTTGTTTATTTCAAAACAATTTCCTTACTCGGCTGCTAGTCCAGACAGGGTTCTAGAGGATAGGAGTGCATTAGTCGAAATTAAATGCCCTTCAAAATCTCAAGATTTGTCTCGCCAAGAAGCGGTTAGAAAAAAAATAATCAAATTTTGTACATTGACAGACAGAGAATTGAAACTAAAAAAAAAATCATGATTACTACTTTCAAGTCCAGGGACAAATGCTTGTTACGGGTATTTCACAAGTTTATTTTGTTGTATGGACACCCAAAGGAATAAATATAGAAAAAATTTATAAAGACGAAGAAATATGTAACAAGATGGCAGATAAACTTGGCAGATTTTACTTTGGCGCATTATTGCCCGAAATAATTGATTCAAGAAGAAAGAGGAACCTGCCTCTGCAGGAGATTTTTTTTAAATAAATAAAATTTGTTTCTATTTTTTTTATGTACTTTAATAATTTATTAGGAGTACATTTTTCATCACCAGGACTTGCATATTTTTATTATAAATATATTTTGAAAATGATCTCTCGGCAAATGAAAACATGTACGAGCACTTTTTTCGAGAAAACAATGAAGGGAGAAGTTACTGGGCGTAGGGCTTTTTTAAAACACTTCCTTTCTGGGATAAGTAGTAGATACACTTAGCTACTTATACGTGTTAAACAAAATCTGTATTTTATATATTTTTTATTATTATTATAAATATGTTTATTAGTTTTATTAATTAACAAAGCAAAATACATATTAACAATAATATTACAATGA